TTAATCAACCTAAGAGCACCATTGTTTTAAGTCGCCAAATTCTAGATGATAACATTTAATTTATTTCGACTCTATTCTTTCCTCTGTTCTAGCAATGAATAATTATAACCATTGATATTAAAATTAGCGAACTGAGATCTATTAGGTGTAATAATTGTAAGAGTATACATCAAAAATAATACGATGAATTGTAGTTAGCTCATTTTATGACTACTTTTCCGGAATAAGCCATTTTAGTGAATTAGAACAACAAGCTTCTTATTTAAGACTTTGAAATGATTTACAGCTGAATGATGGAGCAATAATCCTATCGTATTTGCTGTTATTCAATGGCTTTTAAAATAAATGGTAGACTTTACTTTGTACTTATGATATTAATATAGCTTTACCTGCCGGTATTATTGCTAAGTTCGTGTTCTTTCATGATTTAAAATAGCCCTAACGTGAATAGAATACTTTATGATTTCTAAATCAGAATAAGATTTTTATCCACATATCCACTCTTCTAGTTGTAATACAAGAATCTAATTTATTATCATTTACTTCGACGTAAATTAGTAATATTACAAGCCATAAGATTGCGTTTCATCTAGAAAAGATTTGCTAAGTTCTATTTTGTCTTTTTGATAGAAGAATAGCGATTGTAAATTAATGAGCTATCCTACCAAATTCCAAAAACTGATCTAGTATGAACACTAGTTAATCAATGGCTATCTTTCCTAGATTACTTGTAATCACAAAAAATGTTATCAACCTTTATAACTATCTTTCAAATAAATTGCTTTTTAAGCCCTGCCAATAGTAGTTGTAGTAGCTTGTCAACATATTAGTTAAAAAAAGTCCATTCAAATGGCTGTATAGATATAGAAAGTTGATATTATTAGCTAAGCAACACACCCCACTCATGCCTTAAATGGGATCTAGAGACATTATTAAACCATTATACTAAAATAGTAGTTTACATCAGCTGTTCATAGAGCGTTTGTTCATGTCCAAAATAGTTATTAGCTTTATGGATAGATACAATCTAATCAATTTTTTCATGTCAAATTAAGATAAATTGATGATCGAACGAACAATTCTTATAACTACTCTTCTTTTACAAGGCGAATAACTACAGCAATGGCTGTTCACATTATCAAAATCCTGCTTTCATTTAAAATACAGTACTTTAAATTATCCTAAGCTTATAAGCCAATGTAGACAATATATAATTTTCTTGGCTAATAAAAAGAGTATTGTTAGCGACTTCAGGCGGTATCCATAAATACGAAAGATTAAACTGTAGATACTTCGTAATAACCATGGGATGATTATCAGATGCTAGTAAAGAAAGTTAAAAAGTTGAACTTTTTTGTTGATACTATCCCTTCATTATTGTTTAAAATTAAAATGCTTTTGAATAGCAATTTAATTCACTAAATTTTAGATTATTATTACTCGACTTTACCAATGAAAAGGAAATCAATTTGTTCATTAAGCTGAATCAAACAACACAATTAATTCATTATAATTCAGTGCAATAATGAATTGACGTTAAAGTGGACTATTATTGCTAACACCTACACAATTTTAAAATAGATGAATTTCCTTTATATATATATATATTATTTTCCCTCTTCACCTATTATAGAACATCTTAACCCTTACGCTTCCTATAGTCCGTAAAAATTGAATGTATTCAGATCAATTTTATGTCATCGTTTACAATTATAGTTCATATTTTCTTTCATATTAACAACGTAAAAGGAGTTATTTTTCAATGCCTAAACGATGAAAGTCAAATTGCTGGAATATACAAATTACAAATCCTCAATAAATGATATAGCAAGAAGCTTATAAGTAAAATAATAAAAATTTTAAAGCAATAATGAATCATTATAAATGACTAAAGAATGGTAGAATCAAATAATACATTATAATCAATGTGGCTTTTATGAATTCTTTATTAAAAGAGTTCAAACCGTTGTCGGTAATTTGCAATAGCTTTAGGAATGCAAATTTGCTACTCGTATTGATATCATTGATGTCATCATTGAATGCAAATATTTTCTCTTCACTTTGACCAAAGACCATGATATTCTAAAAACAAAATTAAAATACTGCATCTATTGATCTGGTATAGGAATAACACCCCTTTTCCATTCAAGTTGTTTTGATCTTAAATGGCTGTAGACAATACCGAAATTATTTGATAAAAATCCAAATAGTATTTGCTTTACTTTGTTTCAAGCTGATATTGCAGCCGTTAAAACTGTCAAAACTACCTCTATCTTAATCATTTCTATGATCAACTTCTCAGAATTACACTTCACTCTTTAAATCGTACAGCGAATTTTGAAAGAGACTTAAATCATATTCTCTGTATTGCTCAACTATCTTCAGAAAACAGCGTTATTCCAAGAAATAATTGTAATAACATTATTAATATCAATATAGCAAAAATATAGAATTATTGATCAGATTTTAATCCCTCATTCTAATTAATATCAACTCATTGGACAATTAGAAGTCGCTTTTTACACAAATATTCTCAAGATCTGCCTCAAAGTAAGTTAACTTCATACTATTCATGTCTGAATTGTTTTTGATTAGAAGGATTTCAACATCCAAAATATCAACTTTATTTTATCAGTTCTTTACCTTTCAACATCATGATGCAATTTATAACTAAAATAGCAATACTCTATATAGTAGATGTCTTTAATGTTGGATTTAGTGGTAGCGATTAAGGCTAGACAAATCTGACATACCGCAGCACCTAGTTCAATTTAGCGTATAGCTCAATAAGGTGTAATTATTAACAACTTCTGTCTAGCTAAAATTTTAGATTGTATAATGTGGTCCGAGAAATCATTTTCAGAAAATATTTGTTCAAAATTTTTGATAGGAATAGTTGATAAAATACGGCTAATAGTCTACAAACAGAAAATAAATTACTTTGCTGGCTTAAAATAATTCAAGATTTTCTGATATTATACGAGTATTGTCACGAAATTTGATATTTCTCATATTCTCCAAGTATCTGTTGTATTGCTTGGTTACTACAGTAAGAAAGATCAAAATTGCCAGTAAATTGATAATATTACCATAAAATATGAATGAAAATTTTACTAATCGTATGCAATTAACTGTTTTGCTCAGAACTAGATGAATGATATATACTATAACAGTTATGAGTGAGAAATTAGCGTAACATCTTTTTTCACTAAATCTATTAAACCGGACATTTAAGGCGCTACTATTGTGCTACTTGAAGAAGTAATTTACCCAATGCTGACTATTTTATCTTGCTTAATAGAAATAGTTTCATCGCAATTACTGTGATGCTATACAATGTTTAATAATAGGTCAGAATAAAACGGATTTTCATGTCTAATAAAGGTATTTTATAAAGGACTAAAGAAAGAAAATACTTTCGAGTTAAGTGCTTATCAGTTCATAAAGTTTGATTGAAGATCAGTACTGTCCACATCGTAATGTCGAGTTTTGAGTGTAGATAGGCTGAAATGGCGTTACTCTTCGATTTTAGTCACGAACTGAGAAACATTAACGACATGGAAAGGATGCTAGTGCCTCATTTTGTAGATGATCCATACTATCCAATATTAATTACTACAAGTGCAACATCTTATTGCGTAGAATGCTAGCTCATGAAGGTGTGAGAGTTTTAATAAAACTCAGATCATCTCAAACCGAATCTTATTTTAATTTTACTATCTTCGGAAGATTGATGGTAATATAGGCAAATATTTATTGTTATCACCGGTGAAATAATACAATCAGTGCAATATCAACATTATATTGCTAAGCATGAATAATTTTTATTTGCTTCTTACTAATAAACTCATTTCGGTAAAAATAATTTATAAACACCTTATGAAGTTAATTATCATCTTTAAGGCTTGCTTAAAAATTTAGTTCCAATTTTAATTCATCTCTTCCAACATTTACAATTGAAATTATTAGAGTTTTTTTGGCTATAACATGAGTGTTCCTACGATAATTCATTAGTAATTACCAAAATTGAAACGATGTATAGCTGTTTAAGCATGAATAATGATACGCAAAAGATGATTCTTGAATGACTCTTTCTTATTAAAAAATTTCATAATATAATTGTATCAATTTGGCCTACATACGGGATCACAGATGCTCAAACAAAGTACACTATTTTTTATTTATTACTTCTTTGCGCTGATTAATTATCGATAGAAACTAAAGATTAGTTGTCTAGATAGCAATTCAGAACTGAATTTGGACTTCTGTAAACTTACAAACTCACCCAATACCGAGATAAAGGAATCTTAAAATTTTAAATTACATAGGTGTGATTTCATTGGTAGTTATAGCGAAACTGTAATTTTATTGGGCCACCTTTAAAAATCTTCCTGAAGTGCAATATTGACAATCGCTTCACTAACATTCACGTTCCTTCTTTCATGATGATCTTGCAGCCTCTATTATTAAAACAATCTGGGTTACGTTATCTAATCTAAATAGGATGCTATTATGAAATGAATAAATTATCTTTCCTTTTACAATCGCTAATTGCAATTTCATTTTACTATGTATAGGTGAATGATTCTAATCGTAAACAATGGAAGATAAAAAAATGTTTTTCTAATAGCTATTGGTCCCATTTAGCTTGATTATCAACATCCGTCATCCTTTAATTTCAATCTTCCATCGGATAAAAATCATTATAGAAGTATGCTTTTGTTATTATATTCAAAGTGGCAAAACAAGATCGAAAAATACTGATCATAAATTTATAGATTTAGGAGCTGGTTCAATAATAATAATCTATTATCACATAGGCTTTATCAATACTTTTAGCCATAATGCATTCATGTATAATATTGTATTATAGATCAATTTTCAAATGCAAAGCTCTATATTCTATTACAATAGGTATATAGGATTTATTTTCTGTTGTATGCAATTATTAATCTTCTATTTTTATTTAAAATAGATCATTTTTCAAGACATCGCCTGTTGACAGCACGTACACGATGAACGAAATACCTAGTCAAGAAAGCCAACTTATTCGAACTGTTATTATGTCTGTTAGTTATTTAATTGTCGTGCTGATCGCTATACCTGGCAATATTTTTATTATTTACGCAATCGTAATTAATCGGAATACATCGATGTCCTCATCGACATTTCGACTGATATTAAATTCCGCGATAGCTGATTTGGCTTTTGCTGTATGTGCATTACCATGCACATACATGGAGGACACATATGATAACTGGTATTTAGGTGAATTTATGTGCCTAGTCATGCGCTCAACAGCAATTATCTTAATTACTGCGTCTATTCTCTCCATGACATTTATTGCAATCGATCGATGCATTACTATGATTTACAGTAGCAGCTGGTTACAATCGCGTTGTCGTCTTACTAATAACGCACTAACAATTATTTATGTGATCATCATTTGGTTGATATCGATTGCCACAGCGGTACCACAATATACAATTATCGAATATCGCGGCCTAACATCGATTGGAGGACCATTTTGTTACTTTGGTTTAAGCAATTTACGGCGCTTTCGTTACTATTTCCTCCTCTTTCCGATCATTTGCTTTTTAATTCCAGTAATAGTTATGATATCATGCTATGCTGCCATCGCTTATTACTTATTACGACGTAATCATCAATCATCTTTAGGCAGTCAACAAAAATGCAATAATAACAGAATTAAATATTCAAATTCAGCACTATCAGCAAATCGTTCAGTTTCTACATCCAAAAAATCGAAAGTCCATCAGCGCGATATCAATGTCATCCGAATGTTAATTGCCACAGTAGTAACATTTCTAATCTTTTGGCTGCCCTATAACATCTTCGTTGTCTATTTTAATGCTTTACCAGAACTCATTGACCAGGCCAGATTTAATAATAAGTATCAATTCATATTAATACCTGTCATGAAATTCTTAGGGTGTTGCCACTGTTGTCATAATCCTATCATCTATTTAATATTCAATAAAAATTTTCAAGCCACATTTTTCAAGATTCGATGGATTAATTATATGACACGATGTTGCATATCAGCTAGAGTTTGCAGATCTGTTAACGTACTGCAACCAGGAACGACAACAGCAACTACATCTAATCAGAAATTTAACGTAACTGACGATCGCGATCGACGTTTAACATCGATGGAAAATATCTGGCGAGATATATGTACATCACATCGTTCAGAGCCTAAAGTATCAAATGCCTACGCTAGTCAATATCATCAAGAATTGCGTAATCAAAATGGGCTGAAAATGTTGAGCAGCCACGGACAAATGAAATACCAAGTAACAGAATATAATGGAATGCAAGACGAGGAGCTTCATGGCGCATTGCTGAGGGATAATTTGGCGAATAGCCAAGATCAAACCGTAGTTTAAGCAAATCTTTTATAATTGCTATAATTCATTAAATCGAGTTGCATTCCACTGAAGCTAAAATTCTATAAAGTTAATTAAAAGCTGAAGCTGAGCAAAGTTGAACTCTTACGCAAAATCAAAGAATGAAGAATACATATATCAGTAACTAAGGTGGCAACTCTTTCCAAGAAATACTGTACGTGCAAGAAGCAAAATACATATGATTTCCTGAAAGTGAATTTTGATTAATGATAAATTATTTATAGAAAATCAAAGAGTATTATTAATAGCGATGATTTAGCAAGATTAGATTTCTTTCTTTTTCTTAATTCTAAAGTCTGATAAATAAGCTTTCCATTAGTTATATTTGAACTTTTATTTCAGTAATATACTGTACGCGAACACAGAAGTGAAGTCCTTACTTAAGAAAATAGTAACTAAGAATGAATTTTCTCTTATAGCAATAATCTTCTCCCTTGCTAAAGCACTATTCCTTTTAATTATTTGTACAATAAATAATCATGATGGATTAATAATTCAGGCGTGATCATCAAAGCTAAAGAAGAGAATGGCACCTTAGAGGAATATAATATCCTGATATTTATTGATGAGCATGGTTGAAGAATCAGAACCATAATGGTGTATTGCAAAATTTTCGTTCATTATTATTTCTCACTAATAACTACGAGACCAGAATCGTCTATTATCACCATAGAGATTCTTTTATATAAATTCTAAACGCACGTGTGTATTTTTCCTAAATAGACATCATATATTGTACCGTACAAGTAGAAAATTTTCTACGAGTTATTATAGTATAAATTATTGGGCTGCTACAGGTAAAGCAGTATAACAAATTGTAAGTGAAAAGAATGTTTTAGTATAATTAATTACGAGTAAGACATTTTCTGTATTAGATATTTAAAATTATTGATGAGCAGCTAGAGTAGAGTAAAGAGCACCAAAATAAACTGCATACATTAATAATAATTTAACCATCTTTCATAGTTACTTCAACTTCATGAATTCTGTAGTATCCAGTACAGTAGAAATAAAATATCAAGTGTTAATTTAACTTTAAATTTTTATCGTCAATATTATAAATTTCTGTCTTGTATATATCTAAATGAATGATATCAAATTAATAAAATATCAAAGGTATTCGTGTGATATAAAAAAAGAAACTGTAAATGTAATTCTGAAGACTCTCATGGCCAAAACTATGTTATAGCCATACTGACTTTGAATAATTAAGCTTTGTATAACCGTATTTAGACTTTATTAAAATTTAATCCCGAGTTCAAGCCACGTCAGTATCTTGGATTCTACAGTGCGGAATGGATACGAAAATTTATGGGGCAGTTCATACATGGGGCTCTTAGACATCGTACTTTTTATACTTATTGTAAGGCTTATAAACTTGAAATATCAGCAGTCTTTCTAGCCAATGATCATTGTGAAAATATTAGTGCATCTCCTGCAATTGTTAATAAATTTATCCAAATACCAAACGCACTAAATAGAGCTTTGCTTACGAGTTATTTAAAGCTAATAAATCAATATATCCCAATATTCTACCATTCTATGAAGAGAATTATGACTAGTCAATGTATGTTTGATGCTTCTTCCTTACTAGAATATCATAACTAAATGAAAGAATATAATTTTCCTGAACTAATCGTATTATTGCCATAGGACAATACCTTAACAGCATATTATACTTGCGCTGATTGCCAAGAAACGTTTAAAAATTAATATAGAGAAATTAATTTTTTGGCATAAATGATCTCGTCTTGCTAGAGTTGAATAACATTTTTTGAAGGAGCGAAATTATCATTAATTATCAGTACATAATCAAGATCTTTCTGTAACAGAAGCTTAGGTAAAATTGCCTGAGTTACGGAGTGCTGCTGATTTACTGTAATAGAAGAGATGGATATTGGCTGTCGATCTAATAACTAAATGACTGAGATTTATAAAGTAAATTTTTATTTACATTTGACATTAAAAAGTCCGTTTAAATAATATAGAAGCTATGTTAGCGGAGCTTAATCAAAACCAGTTACTCACGGCAACTCCATTAAGTCGAGATTAGTATGACAGTGAAGGCTCCTTTGATGAGCCAAAGTTTCTTAAATTTAAATTGAGACAGTTGTCCCTTTAAATGAGAAGCACAGCATGGCTATTAATGTGTAGTTATCTCGAAAACTGAAGCTTAGGAATGTTTCGCTTTGAATTATAGTAGAGAATATGTTTTGTAAATCGAAATTGCTCGTAAGAACAAAGGGTTATTTTAGCATTATTCCATATTTCATTATTGGAGGATCATTTTGAAGGGTAAGCTCTTGAAATTTGCACTAATCCTCCACTAATATTCTAGTAGCACAAAGTGACAGAAAATCACAACCGGAGATTAATGGGGAGGTCTAACTAGCAAGTTAGTTTAAATTTACTGACAAAGACAAAGCCAAAGTGTTCAGTAATACAATGGATGATTTATTTAGAATACCTCAAAGTGCTATAGATAATCGATTAATAAGCCACTAAAGTAAATTTCAGGAGGTTATTTTTGGAATCTGAATTTTTAATTCGTGCGACAATAATTATAATTAGAAATTGGTATCGGCAAATAATACAATATTGAAGTTTAGGCGATGTAATACTGAATATAAGAAAGTCATTAGAATTGGTCATTTAAGCTATATCGATTCTATTAAGATATCATTGGTGGCTAGAAATTATTGAGTGGAAACATCGTAACGCTTTTTTAATATTAAAGGGTTTGATTATTGTACAGAAGGCTTCCTAAAATTGAACAACCATTTCTACTGTAGATATGCTTGATTTGTTATTTGCTCATATATGGCCTTTTTTTTCTTACATTCTAATATACCATTTCCAGGCATTGTGAATCCCATATTGTTGAGTTCTCAGCTAAACTGATCTCGAGATTGTCTTTTTTTATTTGGTTCGGTATTAGTGAAATTTAAGCAGTTTCACTTCAAAATATATCTACAAGGCTACTTTAAGAATAGAAAGACACGTGAATTAATTTGGTTGAGTTATTGTGATGTAAGTATAAGAAAATTTTTAAATTCCTTAGGCTTTACCGTGATTAGCTGCTTATTTAAAAATTATTCTTAGTCAATTAACATGTAAATTTCGTGATAATTAATATAATTACCAGTATTGACAGTGATAACATCTATAAAAACTATTATTACTGAAAGTAAAAATTATTAATTAACCAAAGTAAATAGTAACATAAATCATAACTACTATCTCCAATCTAAAGCTAAATCTAGCGAAGGACTTGATTACATTGCAGATTTATCTATTGATAACAACTTTTCTCCATATTAAGATTTTTAACAAGGCTAAAATCCAATTGCAACACAATACATTTTTAAAGATGACTTTTATGTATTATGTTATATGTACACCATAAATAGCAATAAATTTATTGACAACATTCCGAATATTTAACATGGGCAAGTTATATGAAACCTCAAATTTTATCTATTTTACTAGTAATAACAACTATTACTTCAACAAAACTGTGTCTAATACCTTTAAAGTAACTAACAATATCAGCTACCGAACTTTCATGTTATATTTAGGATGAAAGGTATACAGGTGTATTTCCTTAATAGAAAATTAATTACTGGCATTCCTTTTCATTGTTATCTTATTTGAATTTCATGCTCACGTATATTTTAAAATAACAAGGCTAAGATATTGTTTAGTTCTTGCTTACGTGCAATCTACAATCTATCGATTTCATTATATGGCTCTTAGAGTCATATTTTCAAAGTCAATAGCTGTTGGACAATGATAATTTCATTATTGCGAACAGGTATAAAGTGATTGATTTATCTACAATGTGTAGAATAAAATATTTTTCATACTATAGATTACCGTATTATATCATCAACTTAAACCTTGATACTTTAACTAGTGTGGAAAATAATACTTGAAACTTTTCACGTGAACATCTATATTGTAACTAGGCTAGAGATTAAGGCTGCCTGATGCTGTTCCTGATAATCCTTGTCGATATATCGGATCTAGTAAGGTATTTCTAGCGATGCAGTTTTTGCTACCGGCGGAAATTTAAGTTCTTTGAAGAGATACCGCACCGTAAGTAGTAAAATACGTGAACATATTGATAATTTACTTTCTTATTCAAAGCCCGCTACGGAAAATTTTCAATGTCTGGTATTTTAAGTGTAATTGCTGCAGTTATCCTTTTCTATAAGTAGTTACTGCAAATTTAAAATTGTACAAAAGAAGGTTAGTTGTCACTCTCTTGATTCGATAACTAAGGGCTACTATTGAGTACCTAATACTACAGTATTATACAGAGAAATTAATACTAATAAGTTTATGTCAGCATGCTTTAACAAAGGACATCGCACTTATAGTCTGTTGAATCATGGCTTTAGAAATTTAATACTTTATAGATATCTTGACAAAAAAGAATCTAAATTTTGCTATTAGTTAGCAAAATTTATAGAGTCAGTATTCTCTTTGATAAACATGTCTAAATTTAGATCCCTTTGTTAATAATCCTTTATAATTACAAGGTCATTTTTAATAATTATGATGTCGATATATTAGTA